AACGACCCGGCGCCTGCAGCGCTGCAGGCATGGGCTGGCCCACTAGCGTGCTGCCCCATTTTTTTTTTGGTACGAAAATAAAAATATGAAATCAAAAAAGTTTTACAGATTCGAAGAAAAAAAGGTTCATCTATTTTGAAAAACAGTTCAAATCTTTAAAAAAGGTTCATCAATTTCGAAAAAAGTTCATCAATTTGAAAAAAGTTCATTCAAATTGAAAAAAAGTTCATCTAATTTAGCAAAAGTTCATTAATTTTTTAAAAAGTTCATAGAAATTCAAAAAAAGTTCATGTATTTTTCAAAAAAGTTTGTTGAACTGAAATAAAAGTTCATAAATCTAAACAAGTTCATCCATTTTAAAAAAGATGTTCATCAAATTTCAAAAAAGTTCATCGATATTCAAAAAAGTTCATGAATCTGAAAAAGAACTGTTGAAATTTATAAAAAGATCATCGAAATTCAAAAGAGTTCATGGAATTTTCAGAAAAGAAATCATCAACTGGCCCTAGATGGGCCGGCCCATTTATGAACGCCACAGAACTGGCGCCTGTGGCGCCAAATAGGAAATGCCTTTTTGTCGCGCCATAAATACGTTTTTGCATTGCCCTGCGTATTCATGGTTGAATGACGCATAAGGCGCCCTATAGGGCTCCGCGCAAAGAGCGCATCTCTACTCCTAATGGAGCAGTTGGTAGTCTCGCTTCCAGGTTTTTTTTCGTCCCACCTCACCCGGTTTTTTTTGGTACTTCTTTGATACTTCTTCCCACCTCCCACCCGTTTCATTTCGCTGGTTTTTTTCGTCCCTTCCCTACCCCACCGGTTTAGTTTCGCGTCACCCTCTCACACAACGAAAAAAATCTTAACGGATCATAACTTTCCATGCGTCACCCTCCCATCAATGCAATTTGATTTAGAAAACATATAATAAATTTTAAGGAAACAAATAACAGACTTTAAAGAAAAATCCAATTTTAAGGAAACAAATCAATCGATCCATCCAAATCAAACGATCCATCTCATCAATGCAATTTGCTTTAGGAAACATATAATGGATGTGAAGGAAACAAATAATAGACTATCTAAATCAATCGATCCATCCCATCAATGCAATTTGATTTAGGAAACATATAATAAATTTTAAGGAAACAAATAACAGACTTTAAAAAAAAATCCAATTTTAAGGAAACAAATCAATCGATCCATCCAAATCAAACGATCCATCTCATCAATGCAATTTGCTTTAGGAAACATATAATGGATGTGAAGGAAACAAATAATAGACTATCCAAATCAATCGATCCATCCCATCAATGCAATTTGATTTAGGAAACATATAATAAATTTTAAGAAAACAAATAACAGACTTTAAAGAAAAATCCAATTAACTAATCTCTACTCTTAAAGGCCCCTCGATTGATTTTTGTCCCTCGCTTCCTTTCCCAGCACTTATACAATGGAAGGAATTATAATTCACCTATTTGTTCTCCTATATATCCGTGCAGGCAACACAACATAAAGCGGTGAAAAAAACACTCACCTCGCACGTCCCCCTGCCTGCAATCCCGAAACGCCGCCATCGCTCCAGGCTCCAGCCTCCGCCGTCCTACATCTTGCCCCTCTCCAACCTCAGAGACCTCCGCCACCGCCGCCATCTCGGAACCCCAGTTCAGGGCAGGACTCAGAGAGGGTGTGGCTGTGGACGACGCTGCCGCCATCGCAGAACCCTAGGGCAGGGCGTGGTCGCGTTGCGGGCAGCGCGAGCGGCCGTGCGTCTCCCCCGTCAGGCTGTCCTCGGCAGGAACTCGGGACCTCCTCCTGACAGAGCTAAGGCCCTCCGAGGTCCAAGTCGCTGTGCGGTGTGCACAGTAATCTCCCCGGCCTACTCTGTCTTCACGTCAATGCTCATGTGCTCCGACCCTCCCCGACCCCTCCCAGCAAGCAGCAGAGTCTCTCGAGTTTGAGCTCCACCGGGCCGCCGGCGGCGGCGTCCATGTTCGTTGGGCGGAGCACAACGCTAGGTTTGAAATTCACCATGATGCTACTGATGAGGCTCTCCTTCTCCTTTGTTTCGTCTGGGTTTTTTTGTCCCCCCTCCCACCACCCCATCTCGTCTGGGTTTGAAATCAATAAGAGCAGCACAAAGTCTAGGTCCCTGTCTCGGTGGCAGACGGAAGGAGAAGAAGGATTGATATGTATGAGAATATTAATATTGAACTCTTAAAGTTAATGTGGCCCCGTTGCAACGCACGGGCGTTCTTCTAGTTAGCTGTAGCAACCCGGTTCCCCCAATACTGCAGCACTACAGTTTTTCCGAGTAGCATCACTATGGTGAACGGTTTTTAAAAAAAAATGCAAACAATGTTTGGGAAAAATTCATGGAAAATTCCTGTAGCAGTACTGTAGCGACCTGGTTTTCCTTGTTTACAATTGTAAAAACGTTTTTGTTTTCAAAAATGTTTAGAACTTCCAAAAATGCTCAGGTTTTAAAATATCGTTCCTGTTTTTCGAAAAACGTCCTAAAATTTGCAAAAACTGTTCTCACATTTCGAAAATAGTTATAAAAGTTTAAAAATAAATATTTTTTCATGTTACTTCCATAAGCCAAACGGAAATTTAAAAAATCCTGGAATCACTGCTACAGTGACATCAGGGCCTCCCTGTGCGTTTGGGTCGCTATTGGCTGCAGAGAACGTGAGATGCGATCTCAGTCAACCTCACGGCCTCAGCCGCCGGATACACCACTAGTGGTACGAAGCACACACATTCCACCCGGATCGAATAACAACCATCGCTTACTACGCTAATGTCTTGCTTGTTTTTTCTAGCTGGCACATACGAAAATAAATCGTCCACATACCAGTTCGTATAAAACCAGTCTATTATTTTCTTATAGATTTGAAAATTTGTGAATTAATAAACTACAAGTAAATGTTTGAAAAGGTTCATGGATTTTTTTTAAAAAAACATTCATCTTCATAAAAGTTCCTGAAATTTCCAAAAGTGCGTAAAATGTAGAAATTTTTCACGGATTTATGAAATATTGTTAATTCAAAATAGCTCCCATATTAAAATAATCTTCATAAATTTTAAAATTGTCATATAATTAAAAGTATGTACATGAATTTGAAACTTCAGGAACTTAAAAATCGCCAAATAAAAAATGTACAAAAAATAAAAATCCTGAATAAATAAAAAAGAATTGACAAGATACAAATAAAATTAAGAAATAAAAACCAATCAAAATCAGGGAATGCCATCGGAGTTATAGACCAAATTTTACTTTTATTATTTAATTTTTATCATTTTAAATGTATATAGCAACTTCTTAAAACTTTTGAGTGAGAGCTCGGTTGTCAAGTGTGGTTCTCAACGGAGCCCTCAAATAGGGGCCCAAATCAGATAGTTGT